GTTACAATCATGGCCATGCCTAGGTAGTCACACATGCCCACACACTTCACCTCTAATCTGAATTTAAATCCTCCACCTCTTGCCCTCAAGCATCGTAATTTACATTGTGTGCATGTGTTTACTTGCACGTGCGTGGTAATGTCTGTAGGTAATTTTGCTAATCATCTGGCTCCTGAAATAAGAATACTATGCCCATATTGCACATTTTCCATATTTTATTGACCCATCAAAAAGAGATGCTGTACTTGGGACCAGAGCATATTCTTTTTCTTAAAATAAATAAAAATAAAATACCTCCCACACACTCTTCTTACAAACAAAAGATCTGAACTTCACCTCGCTTTGGTGTCACACCTAATAAGAAGAGAGAAACTCTGTTAAAGTCACACACAAAACGGCTGAAATTAACATCACTGATCGTGAGCTGATGGCTGTAATATACTACAGTATATACGTTTGTTTTAAGCTTTTGCCTGAGATTATGGAACACAAACAGCATTTTTCAAACACACACACCTAACAACCCAAACTACAACAGGAATTAAACACTAACTCATATATGTAAGGAACACTCTCAGATTACCTTACAAACGGGGATGCTAGGCAGACTGAAAATTTTGAGGCCTATGATCGAAAAGCACTCTGAGTGTGAGAACTGCTGATCGCTAAAACTGATAAGTGACCACGGTAATATTTTCATGCATTTGGTTTCCAGCCTCTCTTGATACCACTGTTCTTTAGTATGGTTTCTGTTAGAGAGGCACACAAACAACTGCGGCTCTTACCAAGCTCTTCTTGAATAAATAGGCAATACACCTACCTGGTACGCAATTAAAGGGGACCAGAGCAGACCAAATTCATCTCTAGCATAAATCCAAGCAAGTTAGTGAAGTTACTAGCAATGAATTTGGCTCAGGATGTCCGGAACTCTGTTTTCTGCCTCCTTTTCTCCCTCCCATTGTGACTTGCCCTTGTCATCACAGTCACATACTGGTAAATTTGCATTCCTGTTGTGACTCTGAATTTAATTCCCCAACTGGGATTCAGTGGCAGAGAACAGCGAGATTGTGAGCCCCCAGCCTGTTTCATTCTGGCTGGACAGATCCGCCCCAGGATCCAGCAGCCACACTCAGGTTGCTTAAAGCCACCTTTGACCCTTCCTGTCCCAGTCTTGTTTTGAACACAGCTCATGTGGACCAGAGAAAGTAGCCCAATAACTTGCTCTAATTACTAGTTCTTACATTCTTTTAATTCTGGTCTGTTTACACAGAGCTGCTAATTATTAAATTATCACAGAGTTGAAAAATATGGGAACACCCCCTCCACTCTTACTGAGTTCATCTCAAACCAGTGGAACTGCTTGCAACATAAGGAGTATGCCTGAAGCTTTGCCTGTTGGGCCCTACAGAGTAAATGTCTAGGCCAGGGGTGGCCAACCTGTGGCTCGGGAGCCACATGTGGCTCCTTGTATAGGTACTGACTCCAGGAGTGGAGCTACACGCGCCAACTTTCCAATGTGCCTGGGGTGCTCACTGCTCAACCCCTGATTCTGCCACAGGTCCTGCCCCCACTCTACCCCTTCCCATCCTCTCCCCTGAGCCTGCCGTGCCCTCACTCCTCTCCCCCTCCCCCCACCACCCCGAGCCTCTTGCACGCCATGAAACAGCTGACCCGGAGGTGCGAGAAGGGAGTGGGAGGCACTGATCGACAGAGCTGCCAGTGGGTGGGAGGTTCTGGGAGCTGTGGTGGGGGGAGCTGATGGAAGGCTGCTGACGTATTACTGTGCCTCTTTGGCAATGTACATTGGTAAATTCTGGCTCCTTCTCAGGCTCAGGTTGGCCACCCTGGACTATGCAGACAGATTTTCCAGAAAGAGCTGCATTCCTCTGTAGGCACCAAAATAAGAGGGCAGATCTTTCTAAAGATGTTGGTACACTGGGTATCATGTTCTTTTAAAATCTGGCTAGATGCATCCAATGGGAGCTTGTGAGTGATTAGCACTTTTGAAAAACTGGCCCCTATTTAACAGGGAGTGAAGGGCCTTGGAAAACCAGGTCCCCATTGTGGGTGCTGGGAATTTGGAAATCTGGCCCTGAGCTGTTTTGAAAAGCTGGCCTATAAGGAAACCAACACTAAGCTTGAAATATAGTAGCACCTCTGAGGCAGGATGTAGCAGCCATACAATGGCAACAGTAACATTACACCACAATGTAAGGACAGAAAGTGAAGAATACTGTACCCAGCTAAAATGAAAAGGAATTTAATTAGGTGGAGTGTAATTGGGAGGCACTCCTGCTCTTGTGAAAGTTGTCATGGGATCTTTATTTCAGGATTTGCATTTGGAGCCAAGCTTTGCACCTAACTATTCGGTTTCTTTTTCTGTTTGTTCTTGTAGTAAAGTCATAAATATTATTATTACCTCAATTTGTTGTCCTGGAAATGATTGACATCAGCAACTCACATTGTTTCACTTCAAGATCAAGTAAGAAGAGAAGATTGGGTTAAGTGGAGAAAAACTATTTAAGTTAGACACACATTGCTTATGAGTAGCAAACTGGTACAAGAAGGTGTTAAAAATGTGTGTTTGATGAATAGATTTAAGGTCTAGGTAAAATCCTGGAATATTTTCCAAAATGTGAGCGTACCTCTTTGGGTATTGTCTATACAACCTGCAGCAGTGAGCCTTCCAGCCCGGTTCAACAGATTCGCGCCTGAGGGGCTCGTGCTAGCTTTTGAAAAATAGCTGTGTAGACAGCCCTTTGAAGTTGTGGCTTGACCTGCAGCTCTGAAACCTAGGGAGGAAGTGGGCTTCAGAGCCTAAGCTTCAACTTCTAAGCACTGTCTACACAGCTATTTTAAGAGCAGCATGAATCCCTTAAGACTGAATCTGCCAACCCAGGCTGGGAGGTTTGCTGCCATGAGCTGTGTAGACATAATAGCCTTGCAGACTTGACAAATTGGCGTGAAAGCTAAAGTGTCAGTCACTAGACCCCCCCCCCCCCACTTTAACACCACTTCTATTGCTTTGTGTTTACTGTTAAATTTCAGATCATTCCACCATTGTAAGAGTTCCAGCCAGGAACTCTCTGCCCTCTTACTCCTTCCTCTTTTGCAGATAAACTAAATATTTGCTACATCCATTGTTCCACTCATCAAAACTATTTCAGATGGCACATCTAAAAATGAATAGCATCAATTCCTAAAACAGAGCTATTGATCTAGATGAATTAGAGCTATGCTGTTGGTAAGTTACCTTAAGACTATAACTTCAAGCAATAAGATAGGCATTTGTTTTGGATAAGATGTCTCTCACATATGACCTATGTTTCTTTATTAGGTCCCAGATAAAGTTATGACAGGATGCAAATTGTAAGGGAGAAAAAAAGAGATCAATTTTCAGGTCAGACACCCACCATTAACTCAGAGAATGATAATAAATAAAGTTATGTGCATTAATTGGAGATGGCCAACCTCCAGAATTTGTATTCATACTAGTCCAATCTTCCCCAAAGGTTTGGATGTGGAAGAGAACATTCACTCATGTTATCATGCTAGGAGCCCTAAAGCCCAGTCATGAAAGTTTGGATCCAGGCTTTTGATTTGGGCCCAAGCTAGTACCAATATTTCTTTGTTCAGATTCTTCCCTTTATCCACCCATAGAAGACCCTGCTACCACACCATTTAGAGAATTCCGAGTCCTGAAAAAGAGAGGTACCGGTACTTTCTATGCTTGTTTTACAATAAAAGTACACTGTAAACTCTTTAAATATTTCCATCACTTCAGCACACAGCAATACAGATTAATCTGCTAAAGATATGGCCTGTAAGAACCGAGCTGTCAGACTGAGGTAATGTGAATGCTTGGGTGTCCGGGAGGTGGAGAAGGTGAATAGCACAGTCTCTTGATTCATGACCATGCTAGATGACCATACTAAACTATTTAAAATTGCATGTTAGTTTAGGCTAATCTCAGCCTGTCTCTGGGACAAAATGTTTCTCACAGGAGGACAGGACTAAACAGGCAATATTTACTACAGTTTTGTTCTCAGTGACTCTTTCAGTGTAATTGTCATGTGCTGGCTAATAATGTGTTTGTCCAAAGCCATAACTTTCAGTGGATAGCAAAGAAATAAACTTAAAGTGCTCACAATTCTGTATCATCTTCTGGCCAGTGATCTCAAAACACTTTTTGAACTAATGAATTTAACTTCACACCTCCCTTGTGAGGTTGGTAAAAACTGCTGTCCGTGTTCACCATTCAAACATAACTACAATACCTTTGTAAAAATCAATATTTCTCACCCATACTCCAGCACGACAGGACCCATAGTTAATTTAAACTGATTCACAACAAGATCATTTTTAGCACTTGACAATCTTTAGCACTTGAGTCTCCTCCATTGCCTTTCATTTTTTTCATAGATATTACACCCCAGCACTAGGCTAGGGTTTCTATCACAAGAGAGGTTTCAGCTTACTCATGGCACAACCCTTGAAACAGTTGTGTGTGGCATAACCTGACTTGAATCAGTGCACACACCATAATCCTTTAGCAGTTACAATTAAAATGGCCTCTCTCTTCAAAGAGGAATTCCAGCTCTACAATCCATGGGTCAATCGAGATCCTGAACTTCTTGATACCTGAACTGTAAGCACTATTGTTCAGCAAAAAATCTCTGTTGGGAGCTGTTTTCCCTGCAGGAGATAGTTGAGGGAGATTTAAATCACTCCCACCAAAATGATCAGTATTCCATAAGAAATTTTGTGAAGGAACTAGAGAAAAGCAATTTCTCCATTTCTGTGCTTTTTTGAGTCAGTGACAGCAAGCGTCTGCATCGTTAAGGAGATCTTTCAGCACATAATACCTCAAACACCACACACAATTCTCTTGGGATGGAGAAAAACTTACTAGTTCTAACTCTCTGACTTCACAAAAAGAAGCTGAAGACGTCTGGAGAGGAGCAGGAAGCTCAATTGCATTAAACATAATACATACTTACAGTCTTTGTTTTAACTGGGTTCCAGTAATACCTCTTGGTAAGTCTTCAAGCCCAACTGTATTCAGATGAAATGCCTCTGCCTTTGTAGGAATCAAGAATAAAAGAGGAATGATCTTCTTCAGAAGTATGGGTTACAGAATCTGTCTCAAAAAAAAATTGGTGCTGAGTCCTCAGAAAGCTGTGTGAGACTTGCACGATGGTTTAGGGGGTGCTCTTGCTTCTCTAGTGGATAGTTGCAGGCCGCTGAGCAAACCCATTTCATCTGAAGACTGGCTGGTCTGGACTGAGAGGACTCATGCTTTCCCACAGTCCAGTTACAACAAGTCTGAATTTGGCTGTGAGTGTCGTTATGCAAATGAGCAATGTCATAGACTGAACCATTCATGCTTTTCAGAGGCACAAGACAAGGTCCTCAGCTGATATAAATCAGGGCAGCTCTGTTGAAGTCTTCCATTAAACAGAACTCATCACTGGTCTTTTGGGCCTGATTCACCATACCATTACACCAATTTTTCAGTAGTACAACTCCATTGAAATCACTCCGTATATACTTACACTGGTGTAACAGAGTGATGAATCAGGTCCCTTACATTCAAATTAAATGAAGCAGAGCTAAGGGCATGTGGCCTCCAATCAGTGCTTTGTGTTACTGATCGTGGGAATTGCTTCTCTTAAACCATGAAGAGAAAGAATATTTGTACTAATCCCTTCCTGCATTGAGGGAACTGCTATTCACCAAGCCAAAGAGTCTCCCAGGAAGAATGGCACCTAGTATTCATTAATAGCTTTATGCTTTAGATAGTAGAAGAGGAATGTTTAAGAAAACGCCCTTGATTGCTGATACCTGAGCTAATCTGTTTTATTATAAGATTCTGACCACCCCGTGAATTGGTTAGAGGATGCAGTCATTAAAATAAATGATCTCTGCTTTTTCGGGCTTGCAATTCAGCAACTCAAGCTACCCTATTATCTTATAGTAAACAACAGACTGTAATCATACAGATATGTAATTAAGCCAACTAAACATTAAAAAGAAAAAAGTCGAAGGATTCCCTTGTTTGTTTCTCCCCTTCTCCCCCCAAGCTGAGTTATCTATTAGACATTCCATGTGCTCCCAGTCAGCCCTCCAGTCTAACTCGGCTGAAAAAAGGGTCTTTCGAACCTCGTAATTAGTTAGATTAAAGGTTTAAATGTCTTTTTTCATGAAACAACTAAATTAAATGCCGATCAGAGGGAAAGCAGCTATTTATGTACAGGAGTCCCCATAAAAGCTTTGCAGTGTGTTTATCATTTGAAGGCTGCTGTTTGTTGCAAAGGAAAGTGAGGTGGGCTAGATACTTATGATATAATATATGTGAGTTTACGTGCCAAGACATAGAGAGCTTTTTTGAAAAGGCACCTCTTATCTAGGTTTATAATAAATCCTAACAAATAAATGTGCAAATTAAACTGGACCCAAATTCCAGTCTTGCATGGAAAATTGACCATGTTGTATTGTACACTGAGTTAGGGCTTGATTCTTGCCTTTTTCAAGAAAAAAATCAAATCAAATATGTGTTTCTCAGTTTGCTGAAGAGGCTATGTAACATACTTCTCTATTTGGTAAGGCTGCAGATTTCACACAAATCTGCATGTATATGTATATTGTGACAGGGTCGGGCCAGGTGGCTACAGGAGAATAATAGAAGGCAGATATATTAGCCCCAGGTTAAGTAGGTCCCTTTTCCCTGGGTAAGGAAACAGGGAAGGTTCCAGAACAACCAGGAATCTTCTGGAGACAATTAAGACAGGCTGATTGGCTGAAGGTGTTCTAATCAAGAAGCTGCTACAATCAATTAAGACAGGCGAATCAGGGCACCTGGGTTTAAAAAGGAGCTCACTTCAGTTTGTGGTGTGCGTGTGAGGAGCTGGGAGCAAGAGGCACTAGGAGCTGAGAGTGAGAACACAGACTGCTGGAGGACTGAGGAGTACAAGCATTATCAGACACCAGGAGGAAGGTCCTATGGTGAGAATAAAGAAGGTGTTGGGAGGAGGCCATGGGGAAGTAGCCCAGGGAGTTGTAGCTGTTGCACAGCTGTTCCAGGAGGCACTCTAGACAGCTGCATTCCACAGGGCCCTGGGCTGGAACCCAGAGTAGAGGGCGGGCCCGGGTCCCCCCCAAACCTCCCAACTCCTGGTCAGACACAGGAGGAGTCGACCTGGACTGTGGGTTCAGAAAAACGGCCATGCTGAGGGCTGCCTTGAAGCTCCAAGGTGAGCAAATCTGCCAATAAGCGCAAGACCCACCAAGGTAGAGGAGGAACTTTGTCAGAATATGAATTTCCGTATTTGTGCTTCTTGCATAAAGGTTCAGATCTTCATTTACAGGTTGATAACTAGCAAGGCTGTCAATATCAAGAGATGAGCCTGACCCTCTGTGATGGGATACACCCCATCCCACTGACTGTAAGACTAACTAGCATCCCTGCACTTGGGCAGTGCCAGGTAAGTGCAACTTTCTTGGGGAAAATTTGCCCAAGAAGAGAGGCTGCTAGAGACTTCTAGGGAGCCTAGTAGTCAGGGGAACCCAGCTCAAGGCAGTGATTAGTCTTCCCTTTTTCCCCCTCCTTGTTTAGGGCAGACAGACACTACAGCCCTGAAAGAGGCTATGGACATCCGCTCTCCATCAGTGTCCTGTAGCTGGACCTAAGAAGCAGTGCCAGGAACTGGAGATAATTAGAGTCAGAAAGGACCCTGGGAGTGAGCCAAACTCCTGCAGAGAACAGTGAGCTTGCCCTGGAGTGGGGTTCCAGAGTGGATCCAGGGCAAGAGACATAGAGAGACAACAGTTGAGCTTAGGCTGACAGCCAACTGACTAAGCCCCCACAATAGCATTCTTAATGACCAGCTGCACCCTGGCCTCCTAAAGGGTGTAACTGAAAATATCATGACCAGTAATTCTACACTGGCCTTCAGGAAGAACATGATCCCAACATGCGGGTTTCAGCCCAGTGCACCTCTACTAATTGTACAACCTCAGTGAAGGTCATCAGATGGAATTCAGTAAGAGACCAGTGAGCATATGTTCCTTTGAGCTGCTTTTCCACCGGAGAAGCTGACAGCTATGGCTGGATGACAGCAATTTTTTAGGCAAAGCAACATGAAAAGGCAACACAGTGAAAGAAAAACCTAACTAAGTGAAGGCAACCGTGTTTAAAGAAGCTGCTGTCCACCCGGAACAGTTCAGATTTTCAGAATTCTGATGCTACTGAGATGGAGGTGAAAACAAGATTAAGACCCTCCTGTGTAACCATGAGTTCTAAACATCTTTATGCTGCAGTTCACCAGACTCAGCAATACTTTAATCACACCACACACACACTTTTACTTTGTCCATCACAGACCAGCTGTAAAACCATGGTGCTCTTTGAGAATGAAGCCAGGGGACAGAGTATTTAGGGGTCACTGAAGATTATTATGAAGTCCTCGCAGGCAACTGATAAATTGGTCCATCTGCCAACCATTTTTTCCCCTTAAAGCCATTTGAAAATGTACAGGTTTCACTAGCCTCTGAGGAAACAGCATTTTAAAAGTTCCAATGGGAAAAGTTTCAGAGTAGCAGCCGTGTTAGTCTGTATTCGCAAAAAGAAAAGGAGTACTTGTGGCACCTTAGGGACTAACAAATTTATTTGAGCATAAGCTTTCGTGAGCTACAGCTCACTTCATCGGATGCATTCAGTGGGGAAAAAAATGGGAAAAGTGTGTCTTACCAAAGGAGATAATAGTTGGCCCATGACAAGGGTTTAACTTCCAGTTCCCAAATTCTAATCCCTATCCTAATACCAGATCTAGATTGCAGCCAACAGTTTCACTTGAGCCAAAACCCAACTGTGACAGTCATAGCAACCAATGAAATTTTGAGCTAACCCCAAGGAATCATTGTCACAGGGCAAGCATGCCCCATCCCCTTTTGAGGCGGGGTAAGGGTTATTATAGCCCCTGACTAGGTGTGCGTGATCACCCTTAGTCTCAGGGTATTGTGGCGTAGGAGCCAAAGCCAACATGGCTGCCCTTTCTTTCAGGGCTGTGTGGCCCAATGGTCAGAGTCAATATGGCTGCCCTCTTCCTGAAGGCTGTGTGGCCCAATGGCCAGAGTCAATATAGCAGCCCTCTCCCTCAGAGTTGTGTGGCCCAATGGGCAGAATCAACTAGGCTGCCCTCCTCAACAGGAATCCTGTCAGCCCGCGTAGGAACTCCACCATATTGCTGGATGATCATCCCTCTCATCATAACCCAAACCTGGTCTCACACACAAGATGCACATTCTCAATCAGATCTAATTTTAGGGAGATAACTTCCTGCATTTGAGGTCCTATGCACAGTTACATAACTTCCCCAGCTCACAATCAGCTCTGTCTCTCTCACCTCATGCAAGCTGGAGACAACTTCACCAACATTGGATCCTGCAGAGTCATCCAATCAAATCTAGATTATACCTCAAAAAGCAGGGGATTCATCCTTAATCAAGTAATATGGATGATTATAACTTTATTAGCTGCTGAAATTGCATTAAACAGCCTGGATAGTGATCAATTTATTCTGTTATATCTGGGACTTACACATCTCAAAAGTCCCACCAATTTAATTGGGTGGTAGAGTCATAGACTCCAAGGTCAGAAGGGACCACTGTCATCATCTAGTCTGACCTGTATAACACAGGCCATAGAACATCCCCAAAATAATTCCTACAGTGTATCTTTTAGAAAAACATCCAATCTTGGTTTTCCATTGTCAGTGATAGAGACTCCACTGTCACACTTGGTAAATTGGGCCGATGGTTAATTATTTTCCCCATCAAGGCATGCATTTTTATTTCCAGTCTGAACTGATCTAGCTTCAGCTTTCAGCCATTGGGTCCTTATTCTGCACTGCCACTCCCACTGAATCCCAATTTAGATACAGACCACTAGAAAATGCCTCAGTTACATATATGTAGGGGTAAATTAAGGCCAGCTCCAAGTAGTTCCATGGTCCCCTTAAAATCTGAAATCAAGATCAGTGAGGAGACACTGATGAAAAAGGTAGCATTGGCAGGACAAGGACGCAAGAGTGTTCAAAGGCATTTTAGGAAGAGTCAGCCCTTTGATTTGCTGCAGAAACCGGCAGGTGGGGAGTTGATTTCATAGAATCATAGAATCATAGAATATAAGGGTTGGAAGGGACCCCAGAAGGTCATCTAGTCCAACCCCCTGCTCGAAGCAGGACCAATTCCCAGTTAAATCATCCCAGCCAGGGCTTTGTCAAGCCTGACCTTAAAAACCTCTAAGGAAGGAGATTCTACCACCTCCCTAGGTAACGCATTCCAGTGTTTCACCACCCTCATAGTGAAAAAGTTTTTCCTAATATCCAATCTAAACCTCCCCCACTGCAACTTGAGACCATTACTCCTTGTTCTGTCATCTGCTACCATTGAG